CATGGATAGGCCAACGAATATTTGCTGACAATTCAGCAGCAACAAAATTTGAAGGCATTAACGAAAACAGTGCCAATGAATGAAATAAGAAAGCTTTGCGATAGCAATACCATCCATGTCATGTCGACCTGTATTCTAACAGCTGTGACAAAAGAGTAGAGGATTCTCAAAAATTGGAGATTCATTATTTTTTGTCTAATATTGAACACTCCTGCAGTAAGAGAAGTTTGATTGTGAGACAAAAGAGGTTGGTTTTCTATTTATGGATTTTGCATGTAATTCAAGCTACATAAGTTATTTGTAGAATATTAGTACATTTATAATGTTTTTAATTTGGATAAACTTTTAAATTCCTTAGAGCAAACTTTTCACTTGGAGTTCAGCCGACCCCAGAACAGCATGATCATTGGGCAAACAGTTGCATGTATACAAGGCATTACAGCGGTAGCATACCCCTGACAGACAAGTGGTGCAGGTACATTGCAAAACTTTTTCAGCCAATATGGTGTTGTAATTTGCGAAATGCATGCATTTGACAAGCTTAAGAATGCCTGTGAGAGTGCAGTGCCACAGATAAGGTGTCTCCTTGAATTAGTCAACAGGGGTGAGTTTATATGAGGGGGGGGTGAGTTTATATGTGGGGACATACAAGCAACGTTGTCAACTGTCACATTGTTGTACTGAGCACAACCTAAGGAAATGGCAAAGATAAATATCACATGCAGCACTAAGATTTGTCCTTGCCAAGGGCTTGTAAACATACAGGATCTAATGCATAGTGCTACCTGGGGGCATGTCATCAAGATTCATTATCAAGATTAGAAAAGCAAATGAGCAAATCCAAAATCTGGATCAGGACCTGTTCACAACTTTACAAATACCCACTTTTCCATGTAAACTGAACCAAAATCCTTGCCCGCTTTTATTTATTCTGTATTAATTGGTTTAATATAAATCTACATTCTGAATGCTCTTCCTACGGAGTTATGCCCTTTCCTAATCAAATTAAGTCTTCCACAGGCAACTAATGATTTTTAAATATTTATCTAGTGACTTGACATGTTGGTGGATCCTGCATATTTCACCTGGCTGGACCTCAAACAAACGTGGATACTGGGAATTACTCTGCCACTGTCCACAGTATACATGTACATCAAATAATATGTGATCAATACTGAATAGTGTCATCGCATTGTTTCCACTGGTTTATAGTCCAATAAACGTTGTAGTGTAACAGTACAATGTTGCGACTCATACACTCTGTAGAATTCCATTTTGTGAAAATATGTGTCACAAAGAAATTAAATCAGTTATTCTCCTGTAGAAATAACCAATTTGGAAATTTTGAGAAACCCGTGTAAAAATTTTTCACATGCACAAACATTTGTGCAAATGAGTTTTTTTCCATCTTTTTGACAGGATGAATTGTAAAAGTAGAATAGGTTACCACTTCTCCAACAATCCTAAGTAGGCTCAGCTGCCCCTAAAGAATTATTACAAATTGGAACCAACTTGCTGACTCTAATTATTCCGATTTCAGAGCAGGTTTAAAGAAGAATTGCAAATGCAATAGTTATCTTCTCTATATGCATATTTACATGTATATTGTTACAAATATTCCATGGTTGGTTGAAAGAGAGGGATGCCCGTTTGAGTAGGTCCTATATGTGGCTGTGAAAGGAGCTGTAATTTACTCAGTCTGTCTGTGGGCCAGTGTCGTAACTAGGGCTAAGTTCGAAGGGGAGGGTCCTGGCACCTGGATGCCCGTGCCCCTGGGGTTCAGTACTTTTCATGTTAGTCTTTATAATGGTTGGTGACTTGACAGGAGCTAGGATGACAGGACATAACTTTGACCATGCTTTTATTTCTTGCATGCTTGGGTAACAACGGGCAGTGTTATACAAGAGCGCCCTCTATGGTCTAATATATCACAGTCTTCACTGAGCTGAAATTTCTAAAGCACATATTGATATCATTCTGTACATTACATATCAAGTGCTATGTTGAAATTTGGCAAAAATGGCCTACTGCTCATCACCATTCACAGTACCTAAATCTTTAACCTGAATGCTTTTTTAACATGTAACTTTGCCCATCCTCAATGAAAAATTCTCTTGGGATGTTCAGCTGTTAGACCTGCATTTCACAGAAATGAGGATAAAATGCACTGCCCTAAATAAGCTTCCTAAATACATCACTTGAAGTCAGATTTTTCAATATAAAAGCCCACTGCAGGCAATGCAGATTGGTCCCAGAAAACAGCCCAATGTCTCTTTTGTATTCGCCATAAAATGGACATTTGGGAAGCATTTCATTGTAGGAACAGAATCCAAACAAAACTTCAGTCTTTAACCACTTCGCGCCATTGGCAGTTATCAATGTTGATGATGCTGGGGCGGGATAATTAACAAATTTTTCAGTTTCCAAAATTCTTTAAAAATTCCTATCTTCATTTACTAGACATTTACACCCACATGAAGGACTGTCTGGTGACCACTCTAGCCTGACAGACAAAATCTATTAATGCCTGAGTATTTCAGCCAGGCCTGCAGCCTTGTAAAAAGAGCCCAGATTGTGCGGTGTTATATAACCTTCTTCTTTTGTTCACGAACCTGGTACAGTGCGCTGCTGACCTCCTTTCAATAGGGGCCAGATTAGCATGCAGCGGTGCTGTGTTGCTCATCCCTGTGGTGGTGGAGCGCTTTTGTCCCCAGTGGTAATCCGCTGCTCTAAATGCCCCAAACCACAGTATACTGTTTCAAAACAAGGCTGGATTATCTCCACTATTGAGAGGAAAAATGTCGGTAATGCCCAGCAGCATGGTCTTTTGTTCGAGTAAAGTCTTTTTTTACAAGGCCCAGTTCCCTTTGTCCGATTTCATAGACTACGGCCACGCATATAAGGCATACGTGTCCAGTACCGGAATCCCCGGCAGGAAGAGGTTAACTCTGTGGGGGGGTATTTCTGGGTAAACGTATTTCAAAACAGCCAGTGTCCAATGTCCACTTTAGATAGGTTATATCTATATAATGTGTTCTGTCTTGCTTATGCAGCAGCTGGTTAAGAGTATGGATTTTTGTTTTCCTATTCTCAGAGTTTGGAGGTTCTCCTACAGAATTGTTGCTAAACACTCAAATATCTGAAAGCTACAACAAACCCAAGGGTGATTTCCTTCATTTTTTTCTTAATCTCTCTGCAAATTAAAAAACAAAACTTTAGCTTAAAACTTCAAACCTCTGCCTGTAGCAAATGGCCATGATCTCAAAATGTTCACTTCAGAACCATATCATTATTTCCTCAATGGTTACTTAACGACAGGAAACTATCTTCAATGTAACAGGTTTATATTCAATAGTTTGGCAGTTGCTCCTATTTTCTGCTCCCGGCACCAGCAAATATAATTCTTAGCACGTGCATTCTAAAAGGTGGCATTGTCAATCAATGCAGAATTTCACACAATTCCAAAATTCAGAAAACAATTCTTGTAGGCGGACTGCTGGAAGGTCGAGCAAATTTGAAGAAAAGCTAAGTGTGAAAAATGTTCCAATATATCAGACAAAAATTTTAATTGACAAGATCCCAGTTAGTAAAACAGCCTGCCATGCATGCAAGAAGCCTGTTTTTGTAACCTCATTACTGCACTTTTTATGGCAGTGGTTCTNCATATAAAAGCCTACTGCAGGCAATGCAGATTGGTCCCAGAAAACAGCCCAATGTCTCTTTTGTATTCTCCATAAAATGGATGGATATTTGGGAAGCACTTCATTGTAGAAACAGAATCCAAACGATGCTTCAATCTTTAACCACTTCGCGCCGTTGGCAGTTATCAATGTTGATGATGCTGGGAGGGGGATAATTATCATTTTGTCTGTACTCAGGTTACATTTGCCCATTATCATCTTGGAGCAAAATCTCTGAACACATTCAACAGCCAGGATTATAGTGGTAGCTTCCTCAATTATAAAATAACTACACCATATTTCTGTGCTCTTTCCGTAAAAAAAAAGACAAGACCCAATTCCCCTTGGCATGGTGTAGAAGGCACTGGTGGTTCTCTTTTTTCTTTCTTTTTTTGGGGGGGGGGTTGGTTTATTATTAAAAACTCAATAGCAGCCAGAGGCTGAATTAGTGAGTTTTACAAATGTTAAGATTACAAGAGTTATAACATCAACACAAAATTAACAAAAAAAGACAAAGTAATATATAAGAACCTAAAAACAATATTAAAAAAAATTACAGGATATTCATCGTCCGAGATAGAGGCCAGTAGGACATATAAATAGAGGTCATTCTGAACAACAAAGTGGACATATACACAATTGGTTTAGGATACATATTAAAAAAAGTCGGTCAGCAAATAGTAAAAAGCCCACTAAAACATTACAAGGTGAGTTTAAATGAGGACAGGGACACACAAAATGGTGAGTTACTATTACTCAAAAGTTGAGTAAAATATGGCATAGGGCTTTTCTTAAAATGTTCAGTTCTACAGCGATATGCAGAGTATTGTTCTGATTTTCGTAGTTCTTGAAGCTGAACAGAAACGTCTCCTTCAAATCAGAATTTACAATCATTATTGACATTTCTGAATCTTTCATAAAATAAATCCCTTCAAAATAGACCACTTAACAAACGAGGTCCACACAAGGTTCCCTTCCCGAAAAAAAAGCATTTGGGGGTAAGGGTTATTGGTAGCAAAATGCAGAGGAATAGTTAAGGAAACCAACAAAATCAGCCTAGTGTTTACAACGCTAGAAAAATGAGTATTATCATCAGATGTTTTTAACTATGTGAAAACAAAGGAATGTCCACCCGAATCACTGTGATCCAACCAGGCCACATACAAATAGGTTAGATTTCTCACCATGGGAAATCCCCATAGCACGCAAGGCACTGATCACTGAAAACACACTCATTGTTGTAATGTCATAGGAAAACAACCCCCACGCCCACACAAGTCCTTGGTTCATTGTGTTAATGTGCATTCACACACAGATCAAATACATCTGGGCGTATGTGTGCAGAATGTAAATAACCAATACATGTCCTGTCATTATGTCAGGACAGAATTCATTCTTTAGAAGAGGGTGTGTTTGTTGTGAAGGTATCACAGTAAAATCTATATTCTTACAAAAAACCTCCCCATTTGATTAACTTTCAGTTTTCTGTATTGCACATGATTGATTTGGTTTGGTTTTATCTTTTCAGCATCAGTTTTCTTGTCCAACTTAGATCTGATCAGTACAGAATGTCAGAACACATTGGCAACATTTTGCTTTACAGTATAAAATGCTGCTAAAAGTTTTCTGGAAAATGTCCTATTAGTCATGAACATCCAGTGTCTAAACCATAAATTCCTTTAAAAATCTGAAGACAACTTGAAAAGTCCTTAAACATGTGCCTAGGGTTTTTCCATTTTTTAAACTCACATGGAAATCATAAT